TCATCTTTGCTTGGAGGTACATTCGAACGCCTAAAAATAAAAATTACCAATTGATAAAACATACTTTTCATAAAACATGCTCAATTAAAACACAGACAAAAGTATTATATACCGAGTTAAACAAATATCTTTGCCGATATAATAATCATTCCTGGAGTGTGTATGTGGAATATTTTTACCTTCTAGTGAATGGATCGAATGATGTTTGTTCAGCTTGTACAGTTGAAGATGAGGATGGTGCTGTAGATGAGGTTGAAGAGATTAGAGTTGTTGCCGCTGGTTGAACAGAGACACTTGTTGTTAAAACAGGTGGGGGATTGGATGATGATGAAGAAATAACACTAACAGTCGGTGTTGTAGTTGCGGTAGTCGAACTGTACGATTCAACACCGGCTCCTGATCGACGACGAATATAAGGTGCTTCAGTTGAACGTTCTGTACCCCATCTAAAATATATTTCAAGATAATGTAAATGAAGAATGAAAGACATTTAATGTGTATTTTTATTTCTACTTTTTTTAATCAAAGGTAACTGTCTAGGATCAAGATATGTGTGTATGTGTGTTTGTTTAGTTTTTGGTCAGTTTGGAGATTGTAGTGCATGCTTGATACTCGTCTTGAAAGATACATTTTAGCCTGTGTAATGTGATGATGTTTTAGCCAAAAAAAATCTTACACAATAATTGACTCTTGGATTTTTTAATAGGAGACATTCTTTTTCTTAGAAATACTGGAGACTAATTTTAGTGAAACGTGAAGGTAAGAAAATAAAGTTTTTATTATTAATGCAAGGTAGACGACTTGATTCATGCATATTGTAAGAACATGGGAAACTCAAGTTCGCAAAATATTCATTTTATACCTTATTGCATCTTGCTCGACAATAATACCACTAAACGTAATACAAAATATTTTATATACACACCGTTCTATTATGATTAAAAATATGCAACATGCTCAAACAGTTTTACTAAACTCAAATGATTCTTTGTTAGATATTGAATATTAGACATGTGTTTAAATCTAGGACAAAGAAGATTAAATAATTCTACTCATGCATGTACAATAAGACGTAGTGAAATTAAAAAGAAGTTATTAGAAGGTTGTGAACTCTAACCTAATTAGGCAGAGAAAATTTACTGTAAGGGGTGTGCCATAAAGAATGGTTATTTTGTATTTCCTCATAACTTCGTCAGTTTTCATCAAATCGAACTAATTCTTTTTTAACAAGATTCATCGTTCAATTCTCTATCAAACCATAAAAAGGTTTTTGTTCTAAACTCAAAAAGTTATTGCAAAAATAATGAAAAACCCAACACGTCCAACTTTCAGTCCAAAATTCAATTTCTTTGCGTTTGTGCTCAGAGTTACGGAGCAGAAAATAAAGTAAGTGAGCCATTTTGTAGAATTTTGAAAGCTCTATATTCCTAGTGTGTTTCAAAATTTGCGAAGTAAGACCTTGTCGCACAAAATTTGCTTTTGTTTTTATGTATGTTTCAAAAAACACAAGTTCAAACGGTGGTTTTGGCTCTTCTCGGAAAATCGACGTAATTCGGCCGAAATACAACCGTTTAAGCCAATTTTTTTTGTTTGAAATCTCATGAGTTGTATTCCGAGAAGTTATGCTTAGGTCAAACAAAAATTACTTTTTTTCAGTCAGGTTCAAGCGTCAAGACGAAAACTATCAGTTTTCGATCTGACAAGCAAAAAATAGATTTTTCTTCACTAGTTTTGAGCGAAACGTCTTTTCTTTTACACAGTCAGAAAGAGCACAGTTTTTTCTACAGTAAATCATAATTTAATATTTGATGAGCTTTATTGCCGAAAACAATGGTAAAACAGTGTATGTGTTCGAGCTTGAAAATTAGACATGTTGGGCTTCTTCATTATTTTCACAATAACATTTTTAGTTTTGAGTTTAGAACAAAAACCTTTATGGTTTGATAGAGAATTGAATGATGAATCTTTTAAAAAAAACTAGTTCGATTCGATGAAAACTGGCTGAGTTATTGAGGAAATACAAAATACACATTCTTTATGGCACACCCGTTATACTGATAAGTTCGATACCAGGATTACAATTCTGAATTTCTTTATTGGTATGTCAGTCAGCTATTAGATACTAGTAAGCATTTGTTTTGAACGATAAAAGCGGAAAACGCGCTAAATTTGGAATAAATTTTCTTAATTTTTGATGAAAAAAACTAGCCGATATTTTTTTGTCTACAAACACTCAAAGCAAAAAAAAGTATGTAAAATATTAGATGCGATAATATTAGTTGCTAAAGTTGTTTGATAGTTATTAAGAATCGAAAACAAATATTAGATAAGTAATATTAGCAATAAAACACTATACACACGTCAATGATTAACAAACACACATACATTCCACACATATGATTAAACTATATACTAGTAGTTACCTTCTCCCTTTTTCAAGTTGTACATCCTAAAAAGAGTAGAAAGAAAAATATACACAATATTTATCAAATATTAACAAAACAAGAACGGAGTTAATAAACAAATATTTCCTGCTCGTTGAAATACCTTCTCAATACAGGTAGTTTCAATTTGAAATTATTATTATTGTTATTATTAGTATTCATCTCTTCGAACCAAAATAGTTTTGAAGTTAAATGATGAAGATGTGGACACTGATACGAATATTGGCAATAAAATGAGTAGTTCATAATCATGTAGTCTCTGAGCAACGTTAAATGCCTAAAAACAGCAGTAACGAACACATGCTGGATAGAAAATAAATGAGATGTCCACAAATTTGTCAAGACGAGAAATTTAATGGTTGAGAATAAAATCAATCTACCAACAGCGCAATATCTATCTTTGATGTGCCGACGCAGATTATCTAAGTGACACTCATCTAATAGAAGCATATGAACACTCATATTGCTGAACGTTTGTTGAGTGATGGTTTTATAAGTATTTTCACAGTTAAAATAAGAACGTGTATACACTATATGCAAGAATTGTGGTTTAAGCCTTATGAACTAGTAAAATGTACTGCAGAGTAATTCTTAATAGCATGCTTCACTCTATAAAAAGATTAGTAGATTATTAAATAAGCATGCACACTGCACAATACAAACAACAAGAAAGTGACGAATTTTTTTGCTTGATCGGCTCTGTACAGAAATCATAAATCATTTCTTACACGAGGATTCTCTGTGACTGGCGAGGTAATACCACTTGTTGTTATTGATTGTAATGGATTTGTACACGAACGTTGATAATAAGAGGTGCTGGTAGGTGTCGAAGGTGGAATATCACTTGTTGGAGTTTCAGTTGTGGGCGTTTTTACACTGCCGTTTGTCGTTGAATATTTGTTTGTTGCTAGATAAGCTGGACGAGGTAAAGACGCTGATGTTCCTGCTGAGGATGATAATGTGGCGACTAGTTGTTCATGTGCACGTTTTGTTCGTTCTGTATACGTAGGAGTTACGGAAGAATTCGTTAATGTTAGTGGTTTTTGTTGAACATTTAATCTATTTGACGTGCTTGTCGTAGTTGTTGTTGACGTTGTCGTGATAGTTGGAGCTGCAGTCGTAATTGTTATTGTGGCCATTTGGACAGGTGGAGACAATGATGGAGATGCCGCAGACTGTAAATTAACAATACAAATAGCCACACACAAAAACACAAAACATAAGCAAAGCTCGTGCTCGATATTAATATAAGCACAAATACATAAAAATAAAATAATTGATATACCGAGTGAACTGAACAACGTCTAATTTACGTTTTTTACCAATGCGTAGTTAAACTAAAATCTTCTGGAGATAACCAGTCAACAATCAATTACTTAAGTATCTTATTTTGTTAAAGCTATTTGAGAATAGAAGATCAAGCAAAGAAAAGTTAATTTTCTCTATCTCAATCAGAAACTTAATTTTATTAAGACAACTTCCTGTATGAACTATCGATCAAGCAATTAGTCTTCTCATAAAACTCTACTGTACATCTGAATTAAAGAATTTAACGTCCCTATTTCACAAGCATTATCCTCGTTCGCTCGGCATAGTTTATCAATAAATTTCTTGTAAAGCGCGTACATTCTTTCACAACCAAACATCAGTCGATTTGTTTTTCATTCTAATTACCTCGTCATTATTTGTTTTTAAATAACGATTACTAAGATCATGTAACGATCGTTGAAGATTACTAAGTTTCTCCTAAAAAAAAATAGATGAAAATAAAATTTAATACGCTAAAAATGATTAATTAACCATCTAATTTGACTATGTGCTACACATTCAAAAGCAAAGCGCAACAGGTAAATCATTAGATAAAATAAGAGAATTACCTTAATACCAGGTGACGTCAATACTGGTTCGGTAGTGACGAGTTGAGGTTGTTGCTGTGGAGGTGTTAAATGAGGACTAAGGTTGGCAAGAGCATCTACAGCATTCTAAATTAACGAACAAGAATAACAAATCGATCACACACAAGCATAATAATGATAAACGTAACACAGCTAATAATATTTAAGAATGGCAATAATAGACTGATGTGTAAGAGACTAAACTATTTTCGATAAACACCTCAAGAATCAGAATTAAAGAAAATAAATCTAAATGTATCCATTTTATGAGGTACGAAAGTATAAAAAATGTTCTTTCAACAAAAATCATGCCATACAAAAGTTGAATTTATTTTTCAGCACTATCTATACATCTTTCTCAACAAAAGCGGTATTGATACAGTAATTTTAAGAAAGATATGACCATATCTTAGATAAACTCAATGTTTTAGAAGAACAGTCTGACTCATTATTAATTTGTAGATAAGAAAAAAGAACTAAAGCATTAAACATGGCTATCATAAAGAACATGCATATAGTAACATAGGCACACACACATACACACGGATTAGCATAGAGATAAATATTCTATAGAATTAAAATGTTGACTATTTACTTGAGGTGCGAGCTGTTGCTGTGGTGGTGCTGGTAGTTGATCGTGTTTTTGTGAAGAATGAATCGAAGATGTTGTTGATTTTGCTGTATTTGTACTCGGTTCTAAAAAATATCAGGAGGAACAAGTTTGCCATGGTACAGCATTTCTAAAAGTTAAATGTAAATTCTTTATTTACCAAAATTTTCATCAAATGGTTCTGATCTAGTTGGCGTTAATATTTGATCTTTCGATGTTCCATAACGAGATGGTTGAGATTGCTGTTGAATGGGTTTTTGTTCAACATCCGTTAAGGGAGCACGTTGACTAGTAGCACCAGGTCTGAAACACAAAAGACAAATTAAGCTATATCGAAGAAGTGAATATTGAAACGTTTCACAGGCAGTATGATCTAGAACATTGATCTATTGGAAAAATACAAAAATAGTACACAAAATTACACTATCAAACGACTTACTTTCGTTTCCATGGACTAAATACATTATCAGGAAATGGAGATATATCTTTGGATTCTGTTATAGGCTAAAACGAAAAGAAAACCATTCGTTATACTGAAAGTTTAAAAGCTCTTGAAAAGCCTACCGGTCTCGTTGCAGGTACAGGTGGTGCTTGTTGAGATTTTTTTTCTTCTTTTAATTCTTTCAGAAGTTCATGAGTAACACCGTCGCAAACATCCGTGGCGGTTTGACCCTAAAACAATCAAATCAAATATTATCAGGTTAAAAGTTCATGAAAATAATGTCTAAAGCCACAGATTGTGATTAACATGCTTGAACTTACAGCATAGTTTTTGGCTTCAAGATCACAATTTTTATCAATCAAAAACTTGATGGCATCATGTTTATCCCAGTGGGCAGCTGCATGAAGTGGTGTCCAACCGTCATTATCTGTTGCGTTTATATTAGCACCAGCTTTTAATAAAATACTAAAAACAAAAACACAACAATTCAATTTAAAAATAGAACCCAAGAGAAATAGCATCATACATACTCCAAGACATCCAAATATCCTTTGGCAGAAGCCACATGTAGAGCAGTTGCACCTGTACGTTGATGAATAATTTGTTCTGGACGAAAATTTGGACTCCGATTTAGCCAATCTTGAGCATGTTTTAACATCATACGATGTTCAATGTGACGAGCAGCTTCTTCATCAATTCCTTAAAAAAAGAAGTGACAAGAATGATAAAGGGAATAAGATACTATCATCACCGTTAACATTTACCTTTCCGTTTCATATCTTCTTCTAAAAATTGAGCAATTTCATCTCCTTCTGCTACATCAATAGCCAATTCACCTTCATTATTACATATATCAACAATAGCACCATGAGATAATAAATATCTAAACAATAAATGTTACTCTTTTATGGAAAACAGAATCATTGACCGATATGTACGATTCTACATGAGCACGTAACGGTAAAAATATTTTAAATTCATAGTTAGAGAACTGTTGTATCATAAGATAAAGTCCAAAAAGACCGTAGTGAGATGAGCTTACTGAAGATTCAAAGAGAATAGTAAAATTGCTCAGAAAAGTGTGTATCATAGCTCAATCACAATAAGAGAGAAATATCTACTGTTATACAGTTGAAAAGTGGCAAATGGCACCAGATATACTCTCCAGGAATCATTTTTTCAGCGCAAAAAGTAATTTAGGTGATATATAAGCTGTACAACGGGTGCCCGTTGAATACACATGCACTGACATTCAAAATAAAATATTACTTTTAACTGGGAAACAACTTTTCCATATCTATCCTATATATTCCCTTCTCAGATTTGCTTACCTAACAATTTCAATGTTTCCACATGAAGCAGCTGCGTGTAATGATGTCCATCCTTCATTATCTTGACAATTAATATCAGCACCACGAGATAATAAATATTCAACCATTAATTGATTATTATCAATGCATGCCTAAAATACAGACAATAAAGTAAACACTAAAGATCAAAGAAAATCATTTTTACAAGGGAATTTATCGATTTGAGAATAAGGGACGTATTTGAAGTAAAATCACATTGTTCAGAACACTTTAAACAAAGTATTGAGTACAACTGGTTTTTGTAAAATCCTTAACTACACTAAGGGAATTGAGAAATTGAAGTTTATACACAAAATCCATTTTTTTGAACGTTTTTCTATGTCTTTACCTCGTAACCTAAACGACAGGTGGAGACTTTAGGTGACAATCTCTTGAAATTTACCGCACAAAAAGGTAAAAACCTCTTGAAAATCGATGATAGAAGCATATCTCTATTTTATGACAATAGGGAGATTAATATTAAATTTTGCTACTTTATTGAGCAACCATATTCTCCTTTTCCTGAATAATTGATGTTTTCCCGTAACGTAAGGCAAAGATGTTCTATGCAGCGTGCACTTCATTATAGATGGAGAAAATCACACATCACTACACGAACGCTCGATACTGATCCAAAAAATTTGTTCAAAATGAATTAATAAAAGCATTTAATTTTCTCCAACTACAAATGCGCCACAACGGCTCTTTTAACTATCACATCGACTTAGAGAATAAACAGAGTAAAAGTAAGTCAATTTACTTGATGTAATGCCGTTAATCCATCAACATTCGACGTATTGATATCAACGCCTCGTTGTATTAATCTTTCAACCTCATCTTTATCCGAACTTGAACATGCTGCCAAAAATACATAAGCTTGTTGAAATTTTACTCGTTGTGATATTTTTGGTGTATACGATTCCCGATTTGTTTCTGATTCTTCCCAACGTTTTAATTGTTCTTTTCTTTTGTTAACCGCTGACATTTGTCGTGATGCATCATCCGACAAACTACTACCTGAACCCAACATTCTAATCGTTGTTTTTCTTGAGCTAATTAATTAACCAAAATCATTTTCTTTTTTCTAGTTTGTTGTAACATTGTTTACTTGTTTTTTCAATATAAAGACAGTTCTTCTTTAATTTTACGCATTCGACAATTATAGATTAGAGATGACAATGAGAGATAACGGATAAAGAAGAAAAACACAATCAACCCTATCCGAAAAGTGTATTTGACAACTAAGAGAGTATGCAGTGAATGATAGTTCACTACGGTTTATTATTTCCTTCTACAAAGGTAATATAATCAATCAACAAAAAAATATATAAAAAATAGAGATTGAGATTTTTGCAGCAACAGTAGACAAGAAAAGAAAAATGGCGATTGATTTTTTTTCTTGAATTGCCATTAAAGACGTTCAAGAAAGTAAGGTCGTTGAGGAGAATAAAACTAATAAAAACAGAACAGCAAAGATTATCGGAAACTAACTATTAAGTGATTTTTCATTGTATCTGATATTGTTTAAAAAACGACTACAGTGGCATCTATCACAACAGTCAACGACGCTTTCGTGATCTCCTAAATTTAAGATCTTTTAGTGTATAGTGCGATTGCACTAACTAGCAATTATTAAAAGCTTTGGTGTGTTAGAGTTTTATTATTTACTTTGTACTGAAAAGTGTATAAACTAATGAGAACGAAGAAATGAATCATCAGTAATAGTGTTGCCGAAACAAAAGAAATGACTTATACGACAATAAGATATGCGCGCATGGCAAATAAAATGCTTAATTAACAAACCGTGTTACACTCAGCATAAAAAATTTAGAAATTGTGTTGTTTTCGAAGTTCTACTCCCAGTTTATACTTCTGACGAGTGTTAGGTAAACGAAAAAACATATTTTAAAAAGAATCTAAATAATAGGTGTTTTTTTCGTCTATGTTATATCGAACGTAGTTCTGATGGTAGAGTAAGAATGTTTCTTGTTGAAGTAAAGTTTTTGTAATTATTCCTGTCGGTTTTAGCATTTGAAGTTAAAATAAACCTTTTGCTCATTCGCATCACATATAAAATATTTAACAGCAATGGTATTTTACAAGTTGCGTAATTTCAAAGTTACAATTGCTTCTTTTTCTTTCTTTTCTTACGTCAGTGTGATTATGAAACTTGTAATTACATTTGGAAACTAATATCTATAAAGGTTCCTTTATTAATCTATGGATGATCACAAGGACTCGCCTTTCGTCCCATAAGCGTTATTAGTTTTTTTTCCAGATTTTTCAAAACAATGCCAAAAAAGTTCGGTGATAATACAAAAGCTGTTGAAGCTCGTGAGAAGAAAAATGCCGCTAAACAAGTAGTTGAGAGTGAAAAACAACGAAAGTTAGAAGATGAATATTGGAAAGATGATGATAAAAATGTACAAAAAAAATTACAACGAAAAGTAAGTAAAGGAATAAACAGCTAAATAGAAGAGAAATTGTTATTATACTTTTTATAGGATGAGAAAGAAAAGAAATTATTAGAAAAAACTCAACGTAAACAAGAAATACAACAAATGCTTGAACAAGAAGAAACGACTTTAACATCATCTAAGCCTAAATCCAACAAAGTTGACAAACCAATAAAAGTCACACAAGCACAAATCGATAATCACACTCGAGAACAAGCAACGTCGATAGGTAAGAAAATGTCACCTTTATTTAAAAATGTTTCACAAGTCACAGCATTAGAAGGCTAGAATAAATGTGACAATATAAAAAATGTTGACATCTTGATAATAACTAAGTTTATTTTTAAACTTTTAGCATAATATACCCTGTTGTACTTTTTATTTATGAAAAACTGATTTTGTGCTTTTTTCTAATCTTTGCTTTCTTATTGTTTCAGGTCCTATCACTCCAAAACAGATGACACATCTAGAAATGCCATTAGAAGAAAACATAAATCGTTTGAAAATTGAAGGTGACACAGCAAGAAACGTTGATGAAGCAATTGCCGTGTTACAGTACGTATTTAATTCTAACATTTCAAATTAACGTAGAATATATTGTTATTTTCTTCTCTCTTCTAGTTCTTCACCACAATCTCTAGTTGATAGTCATCCTGAAAAACGCATGCGCTCGGCTTATCAATCATATGAAGAACAACAATTAGTTAAATTGAAACAAGAACATCCTACTTTGCGTCTGTCTCAATTAAAACAAATAATTAAACGAGAGTGGATGAAAGCACCAGAAAATCCCTTTAATAAACCAACAAAGGCTTACAACGACGATAGAAGTCTGTCTGCACAAAAAGAAGAAAGTGATGAAGAAGAAGAGAGTGATAATGAAAATCATTAAACGAATATTAACTTGGTTTTTGTCCTGGAAAATGAACTCTGTTCATATTGATATAATCAAAATTTTTAAGGATAAGAAACTAGAAGCAATTCTCATGCGTTTGTGATACTCTCATTCATTATCGGCTCCTATTTAATGAGGTATATCCTACTGTAAATTTTATTTTGTGTTGTTTAAATGACGTGATAATATAGTTATTGACTAGAACATAATATTTCTTAATGTGCTAAAAGACTGATATAATTGTAAGTCATCCAGCATTAAGATTAAAAGGAGAACTGTTTTGAACACATGATTGATTTAAATTTGTATGAAAATGTATTTATTTTGTTATAAAACCATCAAGTTAGGATTTTTTCTTCTGGTTTTTATGTGTTCTCAGATTTTCTTAATGAAATATAATTTATCTAGTGAGGAGAGAAGAACAAAATAAGTAAGCATGCATTGATTAATCATATCGATGGCACAAAATCTTGGCATAATAACTTTAATGACAACGACACTTTTCTCCTGCATGCATGTGTTTATAGAAAATTTCTCCTGTTTTGAATGTTATAATAATGCACCATGTTTGTTTTTAACTGAAGAAGAGCGAGGTTTGAAAAATCATTCAACACAAATTACAAAACAAAATATTTATATTCCTGGTCAATTCATAGGTCTATGTCCGATCTAATAGATCGAGTTTAGATTTCAAGAATACACTGGTGGAATTCCATTCCGAACATGCTCTCTTTTGCGAGCAATCTATTCAAGGATTAGAATCTTTAAAACTTTCTGTACAAACTGACTAAAATTTGCTAAGATCACAGGTTCATGTAATCTGTCTCTAACATGTAGAAGACATAGATCTATATATTTTTCAATTTATCATTTCGTAGTTTCTATCTTCTTTAAAAATCCGATGAGATTGCCTAAGATTTGTTGATTATGTTATTTGGTGCAAGCAGATTGTATAATGGAGATCAGAGATGTACAGTTTTATGTATTCGAATAGTTGATCTTGAACTTTATTTAAAACTGTCAGGATTAGTAGTTATTATGACTGTTGTCAATGATATTGAAACCGAAATGTACAAGCGATTGATTCATATATGATTTGCTACCCAGAGCGCAGAGAAGAAAGATGGCAAAAGAGAATACACGTTTCAACACTTTTAATTCACGTTATGCATCTGCCGATAGTATTTACCTACGGCGTTCATTTCTATCAGAATTTTTCCATTAACTTTGAGACGGTTTCCGTTTGAATTAGAATAGTTAATTATTTTAAAGCCAAACTTGGTAGGTTTATTTTATGCTTTTAACTGTATCGTTGATTCTACTATCTTCATTTTGAATACGTCTAAATAATAGTAATCAAGAAAGAAACAGTACATTCTGTTACTGCGAGCCACGTCTATTATAGGATACAAGATTTATGACTTAATGGAATTGAAGAATGGTAGACTAAATGTAATAATTAAAATAAATAGAAAATATCACAACTCATCTCTGTCTGACACATGATAAATACATTTTTTAGAAAAGAGAGTTCGACGGATATTAAAAGAAAGACACGGTAGATTTATGAGATTAATCGTTTTTTTTACTTGTTATATTAAAATCGAGATGGACGATAAGAACTATTAACTCCGGTTGATTACTAGCAAAACAGTCTTCTCATTATTGACTGTTTTTTCTCTCCAAACGATGCACATTGTTGAGTCGAAAATTCGAGACCCGCTTTATTTGAATCCAGCTGTTCATTTGGAAAACGAATGTCATCAGTGAAATTTTTATTCTAAGGTGATTCTATTCCAATACTCTGCATTATTAAAGACATGTACAATTTTCGTATTTTCTTTTTAGATTTACGAATGATTCAAAAAATATTCCTTTTTTTGGTTCTTCTTTACTCGTGTAAATATAATATCTTTTATTATCAACTAAACTAAAACAAAACATTACTTAATTTTACTTTTTTGTAGTGACTATAGTGCAAAATAATATCATATAAAAAAGTTGTTCAATTAATGTTGTGGTATTAAATGAAATTCTTTTTTTGAACATCGACATGTGATATCAGCACATCCAATTAATACTTTTGAATTTCGATTGCTGTAGATGCAAACCAATGTTAGATATCCCAAATTTGTGGAGTGTCCATGAATATAGATACTTTTAATTTCACCAATATCTTGTATTGCTAAATAGTATTCATACAAATTTTTGCCAACATCAGATCGATCATAAATAATCGTTAATGGTATCCAATTTGTCTGATTACCGTGAACACTTTTCAAACGTATAGATAAACTTTTTGATATTGAATGATGAACAATTTCATTCATATTAGCTCGTACCACAATTCGATAAACATAATCGCCATTTGTTGTAGACCAATCTGATGGAACGGTTTTACCAGAAAGGTAAGTGTTCGTACATAAACAATAGGGTACTAAAAACAAAATAGTTGAAACTTGAATAAGAATCAACATTGTTTAGAGCTCACCGCTTTTTATCACTGATAATAACGAATTTATATAGTTTAGTGAGATATGCAAAGACGTTTTTTTCTTTTCTTTTGATAATCTTAATCGTGATGGAATGTATTTATGATTTCAAATTTTTTCATTAATTTTTCTGCTCCTTTCTATTTATAGGAAAACGTGTAAAATTTCATGTAAATTTTTTTAGATAAAGAAAATCGTACTATACCTTTTTTAGGAGAAAATTTTTTACTATTACCTCTTCTAACATTTCTACAGGAGCAACTGGTTATTTTTAAATATACTCTTTATGTAATCTCATCATGGCAAATTCGATGTATGTCAAAAACAAATGCTATTTTAGAGATTACCGTACAAAAATGCTGGTCTGGTCCGGTTGAGACTTATCAACCGGCCGGTTGGACCGATTCCGGTCAAACTACAGGATCGGGCCTGGTTGACTTGGCTTATAACTAGAACATATGACAGAAAATAGCATATTTATATCGAACAAGAAAGCAAAAAACACCTGTCGCTTATCGGTCAAAGTTTTTGAAAAATGGCCGGTCACCCGGCCGATCCGGTCCGGTCGCCACATTTACGCTGTCACCGGTGATCGGCCGGTACCGGTCAAGATTTTGTTGATCGGTGGCATCTCTGACGTAACCTTTGTTCACTGCACAATTGCACGTTTCAACGCACTTGTCGAAATTATGTCTCAGTTGAGAAACGAATATTTTAACGGTTTCTACATTTCTATTCTAATTGAGAAACCGTTAAAATATTCGTTTCTCAACTGAGACATAATTTCGACAAGTGCGTTGAAACGTGCAATTGTGCAGTGTACAAATGTCTATTCAATAGTTCTACAAAATCTACAAGAATTACAGCGACTTTCACGCCATTTTGCATACTTAGACGTTTCCACAAAAACGCCTGATTCAGACATAAGCAGTCATGATGACGTGGAAAGTAGAGCTCTGCAGGTTAAACCTAACCTATAGATTAGGTTAGGTTCAGGTTATGAAACTTTTTATAGGTTAGGTTGTAGGTTACGCCATTGATAACCTGTTTTTAGCGTAAAGGAAAAAAAACGATTTTGAAGGATCAAATTAAAATAGCCAATACTTTGAGTAATAAAGCGTAGTCCAAGTGGAGTTTTATTGCTTGAGAATAAAGTTCAGACTGAGGTTCTCTAGTTTAAACTGAACTATTTTTAAATTGAAAAATAGCACAATCAAAAAAGGAAGTACGGAGAAAAAACTTACGTTTGCTAAAAGTAGATGGCGAATACACAACAATAAGAGAACCTTCGTAGCATCGAGAGCCTAGAGTGAAATTCTGATCTACTTAAGAGGGTCTCCCTATTCAGAAAGCTATTTTCCAGAGATTGTATTAAAGAATAAAGGACTCAACCGATTCATTTGTATATTCATGTAAAATATGATTTATTTTGTATAGGCTTACCTTTCAGACGGTGTTTAGATAAAAAACAATAACGATATGGAACAAAGCTGAAGTTTAGGCTTCTGAAACCAGGTTTTACGAAAAAAATGCAAAAGGTTGTATTAGTTAACCGAGGTTAGATTACGAAAAACATTAATAGGTTAGTTTCGTAGGTTAGGCTAGTTTTAGGTTGTAAAAATTTTTATAGGTTAGGTTGTCAAAAAGTCGTAATCTGCAGAGCTCTAGTGGAGAGCAATGAATAAGAACTGATTTTGTTGTTACGTTTTTTGCATACATGCGATTCTTGATAATAATTTAATACATGATAATATTTGACCATGTAATGTAGGGATAATTCCTTAGGGAGTCAATAGAGATACATCATATATCTAATTTCATTTTATTCACTATTGAATAACAGACCTTTGTACACTGCACTCTGGGCAATTGCACGTTTTAACGCACGTGTCAAAATTGTATCTCAGTTGAGAAACAAATATTTTCGCAGAAATAATGGTTTCTCAACTGAGATACTTGATTAAAATATGGATTGTATCTCAGTTGAGTCCAAACCTGTTATAATATGAAAAATATGACCTGTTAAGCTCATTAGGGCATTGTCTTTTTTATGATTATCTTTTGAAATACGAAAAAGAAACATTGTATGTAAACAAAAAGCCGAAGCTCATAGAAAACTTGTAACTTGTCCAGCTTCGCTTTGGGCATTTTTCTACGGAAAAAGAAATTTCAAGTCATGACTTGCAACTTGACTTGGAAAAACCCGAAAGTTGACTCGACTCGACTTGAGAAAATTTTTGATGACTTGACTTGCCTTGTGACTTGGAAAACCCGTGACTTATCCAGTTCTGCTGTAGCATTAGAAAATGTTTCCTTTAATACATTTCGACGTTAATTATGTTTGTATAATGAATATCATTGTAAATTGGGCAATATAGACAAAACAATATTTTTCAACAAATCAAACAAACAAATATTTTCGATCTCTTGCTCATCATAAGACATACCGCACAGCTTGGTTTCGAATAATATCCCTAGACAAAATTTTTTTGGTAAAACTGATGAGATTCTTATCGAAATCTTATTAGTTTCTTATATAAAATTGTTTAAGATTTCTCATCGATGGTTGTAAATGTCTTATAAGAACCTTATAAAGTTTTCATAGGAGGTTCGTAAGAAATTCATAAGAAATATCAAAAATTCTTATGTTATTCTTATTTTCTAGAACGCAGTTCATGAGTTGGTTTTGCTGATTTGTGTTATAATTAAGTTGTGTCTATTGGCTAGAAAACTTCATAAGAATTTTTGGTACTTCTTATGAATCTCGTATGAAAATCTTATAAGACACTTATTCTTGTGACTAATAAATTAATTGTGAAGAATTCTACATAAGATCCGGACAATTCGAAATAATAATCATATTTTCTCTTTGCCTTTTAGAATGGGTTTTCATTCATCGGTCATCACACACATCTTGGCATAGTGAAGTGTTGAAATTATGGTAAAATGAAAATGGGAAAAATTTAATTGATAATTGATGAAATAAAAACAATTGTTACCTACAATTGTATAGCAGAAAGAATTCCTACACAATTAGTTAAAATATGATATTTAAATAGTAGATATCACATAATCTTGCTTTTATTCGTAGTTGTATCAAGTTGGCTTCGAAGACATTTTATCTGAGAATTTGTAAAAAAATTCGTTCGATTTTAAAATAATAACACATGATATAGAATAGAAGTAAAATTGCTTTGATTTCAAACTAATATATTTGACAGTTTTGAAGAATGCTTCAGCTCGACTTGATTTTCTTTGAGAAAATGATGGTTCAAGCTGAATGATTTTTAAAAATTTGCAAAACTTTCTCTTCTGTACTTTAGCGCGTACTATCTATTAGATTTGTTATCTAAGGGAAAAATAAAATATAGTTTGAAAAATATAACAAAACCTATATGAAATCTGAAACTCGACTTGATACAATTTTAATTTAGTTTAATTTTACAACCGCTTATCAGTTACTAGTCTCTAGTAACTGATAAGCAGTTGTAAAATTAACATAACATAACAAAACCTAATCTGTATTACTACAGTTGCTTTCTCTTAAAAAAGTTTCGGTTCCGTTTACTTCGATTTATTTCGAAAAAACCCAGAGCGATCTCTGATAGAAAAACTTTGATACTTTTTAGATAAATTCAAATATTAAACGAGTATCTCTCTATGACAGACAAAAAGAATAGATATTTGAATGTCATGTGTTAGTCATTGATGGATTAACCTTTTACACCCAAAATGATAAATAAAAACATATACAATTGAATATTCATCAAAATTAAGCCCATTGTGAGATGATATTATTCAGAACTAAAAAAGTTCATATTTCTATGTATATATGTTCCACCAATAGAATCCATATTCGTCATAGTAGTTGTTTAGACATACAATACGGTGTACGCATCTTCTCTAAAAAAACTTGGTTTTAAGAAAAAAAAATTAAATAACCTACGTTTTGACGGTTTGAATAAAAAATAAAAACTAATACGTAGGTGTTTTTATCATTCACGAATCTGGTTAAGCCTGTATAAAAAAAAGGTTCTCATACACAAACATCAAAATTGATTTTAGGTGTAGAACAACCTGTGCATCTTTGTATTTTTTGTGTTTGACTGTCTCGTTCTCCAATTATTTTTGACAATTTGGTACGTACAAAAGACAATTAACTCCATAACTGATTTGTACGACGCATGATCTAGTCATCCTTCAGAAATGTCATTTCCACACGTGAATTTGCAAAAGACCTGAATTGGTTTATGCTCAATTGCTTTTTTTTATTTAGCCATAGATCAAGAAAATGATTCAAATTCTAATTTTATTAGTTTTTATTGGTATCGTTCAAAATCAAGATATATCAGGCACATATTATTGGACCAATTGTTCTTGTATCTCGACTTTGAGATGCTTAGATCCAGGACCGTATCAAGTTGAACAAACAGGGGCATCGTTAAATGTCAGATTCACTAGTGTGAACGGTATGTAATGGATGAAAAAGATGAGTTTCTTTCGTGCACATTATCGTTTTTTACCAATTCAAAATTTCTAGATGAAAATATTGCATTCAAACAACACCAAATTGAGTTTTCGTTTTTGTTAGACAAGCTACAGTTACTGAGACATTTAATATTAGCACGATCTCTACCGCTTAGACTAGTCAATATCTCGATAATTATAGTTTGTTTGATAGCAATGAATAAAGCAGGACATCAAATTCGATTTGATTTTGTTTGCATCTAATACTGTCATCTAACAAATCTGCATTGCTAAAAAGGATAAAAAACTAGAAAGAAGCATATCTTTTCCATCTGATAACATGTCAGGACTCGATTATAGCTGCTAGTGGTTCAATAGCCAAGAATAGAAATGTGGAATTAGATTGGTCCAATTTCTGGGATTCATTTACAAATGTTATTTGTACCGGAACATATGGTGATAAGTCGGTTAGGTTGTCATGTATTGCTGGTGCGCCTACTCGAAAATGTGATGCCGTTTTCAGATGTACAGAAGGAAAATGTGGAAGTGATGCATTCGTGATAGGGGCCAACTTGTATTTATTAATTATTTGTACTTTTATGCACGCATTAGTTTTTACACACTAAATTTTTCCATTTATAAACTGACTATTTGGATTTCAAAATTTTTGTGTCTATTTTTATTAAAAATAACAGTTCCCACCGTAATAAAAGCTTGCGATGTGTTTACGTTACACGATTGAAAAGTGAATTATCTCCGTCTTTGTGTTTATTTTCCTCAGTTGAATGAATCTTTATTTCACCATAAACTCGTCCCATCACCATTTTGTTCTTGTGGAGAAAAGAAAGCACTACTCATTATACATTTTTCTGCTTACATTACGACCAGCAGAGGAACGAGCTTTTCGAAAAACTGAAAGTGCTGTTGAATTGTGATGGAATTCACCTTGATCAACTGCTTTTAAGAGATGGTACAAAATTCAAATTTGTCAACGTTATATTAGTCTTTTTGAAACAGAAAGAATGTTTTTCTATTTGTATTATCCCTAGTAGCCGAACCCATGTAATTCCGAGACGTCTTTGCTGTTAAAATGATGGGCAGTAATACTCGCTTAAACATTCAATTTATGATGGAGAAACAAGAGGAATTTGTTCAAGACGAAACTTGGATGACCGAGTTGCTATATGTATATTTTTCGGGACCGTCTCATTATACTCTTTTTAGACTGATCCACCCAAGGTGATTATGCATTAGAATATGGTGCAATTCCAAATTTTGAATGTGTTTCTTTGGCTGAAAAACTGGCCAAAGATAAAGCGAAACAAAAAGACGATGAAGAATCAACGAATCCAATTAAAGTATGCGCATCTTTTTCCTATTGAAATTGTGTGTACAGAACAAAAAAGTCAGCTTTTTCTAAAAATGGAACCCAATAACCTCTTTCTCACCTCTCTCTCAGGTTGCTTATTACGCGAATAACTGAGTTATCTTGCTCTCCATCTATTTCACATTGTGTTTGAAATTGTTTACAGACAAAGAACTAAAGACTTTATTATCTACACAGAACGTTCATTCCCTCTTCTCTATAATCTCTTTTTCCAATATATACTTCGATACACCGGCCTATGCATCGATAGTTCGACATACAATAAAAAATGAAAAAAATAGTACAATAGCATCAATTAATGTCGTATAAAATTCATTCGTGGTATACAATATTCTTACTCCAGCTTGTTACCAAAACAGCTGATCCAACTAATAACCGGGGACCACTCTATACGTACCATATGACACCATTATTTATTGCATCTGTTACAGTGAATAATATTTGACAAATTTCAAATTCACCAGTTTTAATATGTACATTAGCAAGTAATTTTGGTACGTTTTTTAAAAATAAATGTTTACTGACACATTCACCACAATTTGTTGTGTCATTTAGGAAACAGAGACGTGCAATTCACGGGTTATGCCCGCGGGGGCTCCGTGGCTACGGGCGGGCGGGGTAGCAAATTTCTAGAAACGCACGGGGCGACGGGGCACGGGTTTTGATTGACACGCGGGCGGTCCGGGACGGGTAAGCACCGAAGTTCAACACACGGGGCGCGGGCGGAGTAAAACCCTGCACAGGAGGGGTACCGAATTTGTCCATCGGACCGTGAAAAGCATTAAAAGATGTCGCTCTTCTACAATATCAATTTCCGCGAATATTGATTGGCCTCTTACTTCCAAGCAATCGAAAAAAGAGCTCAGTCATTCTTTGTCTTCCATATTTTTCATCATTTCAAACTCTTTTCACCAAGTGAAAAGATAACAAGGTAACGCTCGTCTCCACTCGCTCGGTCCCTTGACTTTGATAACCTGGATCTGCGCTACTGAACGCGCTTTCGTGATTTTTAAATCGAAAACAATGCTCACGCCTCCCTTCGGTCGGCGCTCGCTGCGGGCCTGACTAAGCCATCTTCTTGATGTTTTTCTTTTTTCGTGTGTAAGGTTCGTAAATATACAAGGCAAAAAGTCCCAGAAGTCTAAAAAAATTTCTGAACTCACAGCAATGCTCACGCCTCCCTTCGGTCGGCGTTCGCAGCCATTATAGCAGAGAAACGCTGTGAACTTCTCTGCTTCCAAGGAAAAACCATCCAATGTAAATAAAGCTAAAAGCTTTTCTGGACACTCTTTACGGATCCTGAGGAGATTGGAACTATTTTCAATCGATTCGCTATGATAGATTTTCTATACACTGTAAGTTACAGTATCCGTAGCCGACTTTCCTTGTATTATCACAGTTGGCTGCTATCTGGCGACATCTATCACCGGCCTACAGAAAACGTTTGCTTAGCTTTTTGTCTCTCTGCAGCGGTAGATATTTCAGTTCATCTCTTTGAATATTTTCTCCCTTCTGTAAAAAATAATTTTCTACTTCTATCTCTTGTGATTCGCTTATCCATAGAATATCTAACACCCATTTTTCCGTATTTTGCGCACACACAGACACACACAGTGTTTCTAACATTACGCGTACGCCTTTGTTCCAAAGCGTACGGTACGCGAACTAAATTGAAAATACGCTTTGTATCAACCAATAGGAAAAGACAGAACGATAAAATCCACGAATTACCACGCTTATGTACGCGCTGCTCAAAATTCTCGTTAGAAAGCCAGGACACACAGACAACCATTTCGTAAGACCCTAGACTAAAGTCAAGGGAATAAAATTCTTTTGATTTTTGAAAGCTTCTTCTCGTTTGTCAACCCCAATGATCGAAATAAATGATTTATCATCGGACGAATCTTCTGATGTTATTTTATCAACAGCAACTGGTAATTCATCATCAGATGCTGGTGGTTCACTACCTGAATGCTCACTTGGTGATATAAAGTACGGTGCATCGAATATCAAATTTTTCTTGAAAAATCAACCAGGAAAATATACACTGGTGGATAATCCTAGAGTAAATACAGTTAAACCATCTGCAAGTTGGACTCGATTTGCTCTTCCTGCAGTTAAAGATGAAAATCATCGAAAAATTTGCGTGAATTTGTGTGATGAATGAAAAGTCTCACAGGTCACATTGGTGCTGGCGGGGCCCCGTAGCAAAATCCACGGGCGGGCGGGACGGTTTAGAGGAAAATTCTACGAGGCACGGGCGGGATTATTTAAACCAGTGGTCCACGGGGACGGGTAGACGGAAGTCACGGGACGGGGCCCGCACGGCATGAAAATTCCTTGTCCCGCAAGTCTCTGTTAGGAAAGCAGGAAAATCACGAACACACTCGGCAAGAATTCTATCAACCTCATGTTGTTGACCTTTATAATACGTTGCAGCACCCAGGTAAATCGATGCATCAAATAAAACAAAATATACAAAGAGTAATATCGTTGTAGTTAATCGAATCGAATTCTGATTCCTTGTATTCAGTAAATGCTCAGCTGGTGGAGTATAAAGAAAACACAAAAATAGATTAAAAACTACACTTTATGTGCACAAAATGTGTTCAACTTCATCCGACGGGAATTATCTATTTTGTCCACTATTCCTAGAATCGCATCGGATTTTTTGGTCCAAGCTTTGAGAGAAGAGGAAAAGTATTAAAAGTAACTCCCATTTTTTTTTCTCCTTCAAATTTTTTTAAACCTTCAAAAAGCCGTTAACATGATTCCTATGACAAGTAGAGAAAGAAAGCGCCTATTTACCGATAAAACTGCTGTTTTTACCGCGCAGCAAGCCCGAGGTTCCACCTTCACTGCATTATGTTCCTGACGACAAAACCGGGTAAAACATGGTAGAATCAGTGTCTCATCTATCTTAAGAAACACTTTGTTTTTAAGAGATTTTTTCGTATCAAATGTTTTTGTTTTTCATTCTTTCTTTATATAGAAACCGCTGCGTAAGAATTCATCCACGCTAGATATTTTTTGGTGCAGTGTTTTATCTAGGTTTCGTTTTTTGGGTAGGCTCTTGAGATTTTTGGAGGGGCTGTTAGCTAAAAACTTTGAGAGTGAAAGTGAGAGAGAAAACATCTTTTTTTACGAAATCAACTGTATAATTTTCGGGTAGGCGAATCGAAATTTCGGGTGGGCACCGCCCATCCGGCCTACACACTAGATAAATCACTGCCTGTGTGGAAGTATTTGAACTCTCTTTTTATACGCGCATGTTTCTGAGTCTTCTTTCTCAGAAACTGATTGTAAAATAAAGATTAGGGCATGGTGAGAGTGCTGGATGGTCAAGAAAAGCTTCAAAAACTAATTGCACCATGTTCTCGAAGAAAAGCCCGAGTAAAACATGGTGTAGTCTAAAACATTTTATCATAAGAGAAATACTTTCATATTGTTTTCGGTTTCTATCGTCTATACTTGGAACAGACGATATAGTTCAGATTCGTAGCTCAGTCGAAAACAAAAAATGCTGAACTTAAAATTCCTCCTGCCTTTTGACAAACGAAGTTAGAAAGATTGTAAGATAGATAGGTGCAAAAAGGAAAACGTGTAGATTCGTCTTAAACATGCACGTGTACTTGTTCCTATATGCAATTTCAATATATATTTCTTTTATACTTGACACAGACACGTGTATTTTGTATACACGTTGTCACTCTTAACTTTTTTCATTTCCGTGCACGATAGCTATATATCCATTCTGTCATAAATACTGCGACTTTTATAAAAGAAAAAGAAGCCCAAACAAACCTGATAACGCTGAAAGAATAATTATGTTAAACAGAGTTAAGGGTATTTCAGCCGAAATTTCACTAAAATTCGTATTCCTATTGTTGCCCTTTAATAGTAAGAATATTAACCAAGAGAAATTAACTTCTGAAAAATTCTAAGTTTTAAATTATTTTACGCTTTATTAGCGTAAGAAAGCTGAATAACGAGAACTTTATTTTATTTTAGGTTATTTTGTTTGTCAAAATATCAGGGATACCTTATTGGTATGTCCACGACATTTGTGTATTTCTCCTTGTGAACAGTGTAAAGTCTAAAATACTGCTGACTGTGTTTATGAATAACTTTCAACAGTGATTATACTTTTAGTAGTCGAGTTTAGGTTTAATCGAATTCCTTTTGATTTCTTTTGAATAAAGTTAAATAAATTTGTTCGACTATGGAAGAAGCAAGCAGAAAGACTATGAAACCATCAAGAATGCAACTTTCTTTGCTTGCCTGATTATTTTCCTGTGATCTGTTCTCGAAGACAAATACCGAGTAAAACAGATTGCAGTTTGATCTTAAAGAGGTTACGTTATGCTGCTTTAAAAAGTATACATATAATTTCTTCGTTTCTACTTGAGTGAGGAAAAGAACAGAATAAGTGAGAAATATACTTATCTGTTGATATGCGCTAATGGCAAAATACGTTTAACACTACACTGTAATGTCGGGAATTATTCATAGAAAATGCTCGGCGATTTTCAAAAAGTCCATATATAAATTCCGTGAGGATTTTCTAGATTCTAGAAAATCGAATTTACAAGAAGCTTGGAAATTCGATCTCGATTTTCCAGAATTCAGGAAATTCGAAGTCGAATTTCTATAAATAATTCCCAAGATACTTGAAATTCGAAGTCGAATTTCCAGAATTCTGGAAAACCGAGGTCGAATTTCTATAAATAATTCCCAAGATTCATGATCGATTTTCTAGAATTATGGAAAATGCTCAGCGATTTTCAATCTGGAAATTCCTCGGCGATTTTATATATGGACTTTTGAAAATTCGAAAAAAATGAAATTAATTTCGAGTTATCTGGAAAATCCGTGAGGAATTTCCAATTATTTGGAATATCGCAGAGGATTTTTCAGGCTTTTATGTAATTATATGATGTCGTGTTAGATATTTTAGCATACTCCGAGAGGCAGAGACTTGA